GCTGCAGCGCCTAGAGGACTCAATGCGTTTGCGTAAGATCGTGCTAACTGAGGATAAGGCTAATTTCCTTTTGTGCATTCAGAATCTGTTGCTAGGGAGCGAGTGGAAACGTTGTCAGCAAAGAATAAGCAGGACTATGATGCCATCGTCGCTCTTCTGCGCTAACATTTTGAAGGACCGAAACAAATGGCAGATGCGAGACAAGAATTATCTACCTGCCGGCAAGCTGCGGGTGAGTCTATTTCTGCTTTTGCTTTCTGCCTTTTCAACTTCTTCCAAACGGCGACAGGTAAAGATCCACCGCTCAATGACGATTTATTTCTGCAAGAATTTTTGCAGAGACTTAATTCGGATTTATGTTTTCACGTGAAGTATGCCAACCCAACTTCTTTTTAAGCGGCCGTAGCCGAAGCTGAGCGTGTGGAGAACTGGCTGGCCGAAGCTACAAAACATCGGCCCATTCATTCATCCCATACACCTTTACCGGTAAGCGTGAGTCAAACCGCTTACTCGTTCTTCTTACAATTCACCCGTTCGCAAGAACTCATGTTCACCTAGTCCATTTCGGCGGGCCCGGAGTTCATACCCCAGAGAAAACTACCCGAATAAAAGAAGACACGGTGTTAACCGTGTGTGTTTTCAGGAGCCACCAGCTCGAAGGCCACAACACGACTTGGACAATGGTATTTACTGCTATATTTGTGGTGGCCGAGGACACACAAGCTCGAAGTGCCCATCAAGAAGAAGCCAGCGTCAACAAACCGGTAGGTTCACATCGCAGTTTCTACGTCGCGCAGCTCGAGGTATACATTTCGCTCTCGTTCGCCCGCGTTTAACCGCGCATCTTCTCACCACTTGTTCGGTATTGCACCTCATCCTAACAGCAAGTTAGAAGAAGTGCGTAAGCAGATTGAGTCTCCTCCCTTATCCTTAAAACAAAATCAGGCAGCTCTTGAAAATTCTAATGCCCGCATTTCGGCACTCGTGCAGCGTAACGAAGAGCTTGTCCGCGCTTGGTCATCATCACGCACCTGCTTCCGCATATTCTCTTCCTAATGTTAACTTTTTGTTTATCACCTCCATAATAATGTCCTGTTGCATTCTTGGTAATGCTCCTCAGCCGGTATGGCTGATGGGGCTCTCCAGTATGATGCAATATCACATACGTTCTCTAATATTTCGAATCTATCTATCCGTAATATCTCGTTAACATCCTCTCCCCAGGACACTAAGTTCGCTCCATCACTCACAATCTTTCACAATCTGATGCTTACTAGCATAAGTGAACTTGTACAAGAACAGCAGTTACAAGAACTTTGGACAACTCATGACTTTCATAAATTTCTTGATGCAGTCGGTGGTGCAGTCGAAAAGGTTACTCCTCTCATGCTAGTACT